CGGTCATCCCGGAGAAGTCGGGGCTGGCGGCAATCCACTCGGTGGCGAAGGAGGCGATGCTGAAGGGAGGGAGCCGCTAGGTTTTGTCTCACAACCCTGTCGGATGTGGGAGTCGTGCGATCTCTTCCTCCCGGGACTTGGGTGCCATTGGCCCCGTCTCCGGGGGGGGGGGAAATGTCTTCCTTATTGGGTTCGGTTTTCACCACTGTTTCCTCTCTTATTCCATTTTGGTGGCGCACGTGGGTTTTTCCGGTGGCATGGCAGTGGAGCCACGTCACGGCAGCTTGATCTCCTCGACCATGAGGCCACATGCATTAGCTGCCCCAAGGACGGGCCATCTCAGCCACGGTTCGGAAAAAGTGGCTGCGGCCGACTCATGGTTTCCTTGAGGTCCCCTTGAGGTTTTGGGGAATCCCCCACCTGGTCGGTCTCCCCCTCCGTGCTTTTGGGGGGTTTCTGGGGTCTCCCCCCTCTCCCTGTTAAAATCTCGGGACTTTCGGGGGGACGTGTCGGGATGCGTGTGGCCTGCCTGCTCCATCTGCACTCTGCATTCTGCAAGGTTGGAGCATGCATGCATTGTGCCGCGGTTGGGTCCCGGCGGTTCGATAGGAGGCTCAAAACCCCCTTTTCATCATGGCTAGGGTATCTACCAAGTTTCTTATGCGCCCGCCCTACACACGTCTTTGGGACCGCATTCCAAGGGTCCTATGGGACACGTTGGCGGATGAGTCCTTCTCCCCAAGACAGACGGACGGGGAGCTGTTGGTCCTGATGTGCCTGCGCCAAGGCACTGAGGAGGAGGGGAGGAAGCTGGGCGGAGAGCCGGCAATCCGCTTCTCTCAGCTCCTGGAACTCTCGGGCATTCCGGTAGGACAAGACGCCCACGTGGTCCCGACGGAATACTTCAACGGCCTGGTGGCGGCGGCGGCAGGCAGGCTTCCCCAGCCTCTGTCCGCGGCGGACCTGGCCGACCTGTGGGACAGCATATGGTTCCTCCTCCTGGCGACGGCGGATGGCAAGCCGAGCGAGGACTTTTCCCCGCTGGAGAATGAATGGGACCGCCAGGACCAATTGAGGTGGTTCTCACGAGATGACCCACCCCCACTCCAACAACCGGAGCTTCTGAAGTGGAGGCACTGGCGCCCGGGCAAAATAAGGGAAATGGAGCCCACGACCCAGCGAGCGGGCGGAACGGCTCCTCGCCCACTTTGCCCCGTTTGCGGAGCACATCACGTACATGCAGGACATCCTGGGGGAGGACTTCCGCAAGGAGGCATTGGACCTCCTGGGGGACAATAGGTTCCGGACACTCAGGCAGCATTGCCTGGTCTACGAGAGTCTCCGGAAGAGAGGCTTCACGGTGATTCCCTGGCAGGAACGACATGTCCGCTCTCTCCTCAACCAGCTCGCCGAAGAGGAGGTCACCCCGTACAAGCTACGGCAGGTGTGGAACACCCTCAAATGGTATTCCAAGACCTTCGGTATGCTGAAGATAGACGAGCTCCATCGCCTCAAGTCCAAGAAGAGCTCGTTGGAAGAGGCACTCACGGACACGGTCACCCGGCCGCAGCGCAAGGCGGTGGTCCCCAGCAAAGAGGTCATATGGGCTCTGGAGGAAGGGGCTGGCTACGATCACCTGGGTGCCACCGGCCCCGGTACGCAGGCGGCCCCGGGGAGGAGCAGACACGAGGTACTGGACGCATTCATCCTGGGTTTCGCCCGGTTCCAAGTAGGGTGCAGCGCTCGTTTCAATGACCTCCAGCATGTTCACCCCAAGGACCTGATCCACACCAGTAACACCGTGGAGCTGAAGGCCTGGCAGACCAAGACGGTCTCAGCAGCACGAATCAACCGCAACCCGGTCCCCTTGATTGCTCCGAAGTACAGCTTCACGGGGATCCCCTGGTGGACTACCTGGGTGGCCACGGTCCGGCGACTGGTATCCGAGAAGGCATTCCAGGACATGGACTACTTGCTCCCGACAGTGAGCAAAGACTTCGCCGACCTTCCGCACCAGAAAGGGCTCTGAAGGATGCTCTTCTCCGTCGGGGAGTGACCCTGGGGTTGGTGAAGCCGCTGACGTGGCACTCATTCCGAGTGTTCATCCCGGACTGCGCTTTCCAGATGGGGCTCCCCCGGGAGCGCCGCATGTACTTAGGCAACTGGCTCACAGAGAGCACAGCAGACGTCTATGTGCGGGAGAAGCGCAATGTCGTTGTGGAGATTTGGGGCCAGGTAGCGCAGAAGGTCCCCAACCTGAACCTCGGGCCAGGCAGGGAACGCAGGGAGGACTTGAACCACCCGGACTGGGCGGACCCGCTCCCGCCGCCAGCAGTGGAAATCACGGATGCGGGACCGGACGGCCACAAGGACCAAACTGAAGGGGAAGGGGAGGCGTCCCCCACGGTACCCTCAGGGAGCGCACCATCGACTCGCTCATGGTCATTGGTGGAACAGGGACCCGAGGACACGGCGGACTGGGTACTGGAGCCTGCGGAGGTCCCCACACTGCAGGAGGACTCGGACTCCTCGGCGGACTCGGGCTCTGAAACGGATGACTGGGTGGACACCAGTCAAAGACCGAGGTGGTGGCCCTACCTTTGGAAGTCTAGGTGCCCCCGGCCCTGGCGACCTGAGGGGGAGGCCAAGGACAGGGCTCTGGCCAGGGCCCTCAGCACAGACTGGCATCCTTCGGAAATGGCGGGTGTGCCAGACTGTCCTTCGGAAATGGCGCTATCGGTCTCGTTCTTCAGTTTTTGAGAGTTTGTGGCGGGTGGCCCATGGGGCCCACCCAGCCGTAGACATCTGACAGGGGAAGGATGAGTCCAAAACCAAGCCGGCCGCCACTGCCGGCTCCCGTGTGCGAATGTCCTGGGCCTCCTGGCTGGCCATTTCAACCTCCTCCACGGTGAGTGTCTGGTCCTCAATCAACTCAAAGGAAGTTGCCGAGGTTGCCGAGGAAGCCATTGCTTGGTCGGGGTTAAGTTCGAAAATGCAAAAGGTCAAAGTTTTTCAATCAGCTTGGGTTCCAGGAACCCAGAGCAATGCTTGAGCCAAAATGGCACATGCCATTATGGTCAAGCATTCCACACACAGTTCATGTTTCCACATGCGTTTCAACATTAACAAAAAATAGTTGCCTTCCCTTCAGTGTACCTTTCAGTTCTCTTTGTTTTGGTCTTCTCCCCTCTCCTCTAAAACCTTTTACGCGATACCATAGCTCCCTTGGCAAATAAGCCGAGCAAGTTCCACATAAAAAAACACTTTTAACCAGGCAATACCACAACATAAGCAATCTCCAAGGCTGTACCTCGACATAAGCAATCTCCAAGGCTGTACCTCGAAATAAAAAAGGATCAAAAAATACCTGTTTTCTGAGGGCCCTTGGAAGACCAAGGTTGGCTGCAATGCGCTACCGACATGCCACAACTGCGTGCGCGCGCTCGCGTGTCTGTGTGAATGTGTGTGTGTGTGTAAGTGTGTGTGTGTAAGTGTGTGTGTGTGTGTGTAAGTGTGTGTGTGTGGGTGTGTGGGTGTGTGGGTGTGTGGGTGTGTGGGTGTGTGGGTGTGTGTGTGTGTGTGTGTGTCTGTGTCTGTGTCTGTGTCTGTGTCTGTGTCTGTGTCTGTGTCTGTGTCTGTGTCTGTGTCTGTGTCTGTGTCTGTGTCTGTGTCTGTGTCTGTGTCTGTGTCTGTGTCTGTGTCTGTGTCTGTGTCTGTGTCTGTGTCTGTGTCTGTGTCTGTGTCTGTGTCTGTGTCTGTGTCTGTGTCTGTGTCTGTGTCTGTGTCTGTGTCTGTGTCTGTGTCTGTGTCTGTGTCTGTGTCTGTGTCTGTGTCTGTGTCTGTGTCTGTGTCTGTGTCTGTGTCTGTGTCTGTGTCTGTGTCTGTGTCTGTGTCTGTGTCTGTGTCTGTGTCTGTGTCTGTGTCTGTGTCTGTGTCTGTGTCTGTGTCTGTGTCTGTGTCTGTGTCTGTGTCTGTGTCTGTGTCTGTGTCTGTGTCTGTGTCTGTGTCTGTGTCTGTGTCTGTGTCTGTGTCTGTGTCTGTGTCTGTGTCTGTGTCTGTGTCTGTGTCTGTGTCTGTGTCTGTGTCTGTGTCTGTGTCTGTGTCTGTGTCTGTGTCTGTGTCTGTGTCTGTGTCTGTGTCTGTGTCTGTGTCTGTGTCTGTGTCTGTGTCTGTGTCTGTGTCTGTGTCTGTGTGTGTCTGTGTCTGTGTCTGTGTCTGTGTCTGTGTCTGTGTCTGTGTCTGTGTCTGTGTCTGTGTCTGTGTCTGTGTGTGTCTGTGTCTGTGTCTGTGTGTGTCTGTGTCTGTGTCTGTGTCTGTGTCTGTGTCTGTGTCTGTGTCTGTGTCTGTGTCTGTGTCTGTGTCTGTGTCTGTGTCTGTGTCTGTGTCTGTGTCTGTGTGTGTGTGTGTGTGTGTGTGTGTGTGTGTGTGTGTGTGTGTGTGTGTGTGTGTGTGTGTGTGTGTGTGTGTGTGTGTGTGTGTGTGTGTGTGTGTGTGTGTGTGTGTGTGTGTGTGTGTGTGTGTGTGTGTGTGTGTGTGTGTGTGTCTGTGTGTCTGTGTGTGTCTGTGTGTGTCTGTGTGTGTCTGTGTGTGTCTGTGTGTGTCTGTGTGTGTAAGTGTAAGTGTGTGTGTGTGTGATTGTGTGCAAATGTGTGAGTGTCTAAGTGTGTGTGTGTGTGTGTCTAAGTGTGTGTGTGTGTGTAAGTGTGTGAGTGTCTAAGTGTGTGTGTGTGTGTGTAAGTGTGTGTGTGTGCGCGTGCAAGTGTGTAAGTGTGTAAGTGTGTGCGTGTGTGTATAAGTGTGTGTGAGTGTAAGTGCTTTATAATGGTACCCCTTTGGGCGTCATTTGAGAGATGATCGGGGGCTCCCAAGTGCGACACACCCACGTCCTGCAGGGCTCCTGATATTTCCCTCTTCAACATCACGCCACCAACAAGAAACTCATATGGCTGAACCGGCAAATATTGGGACCCCTTTCAGAAGCGCTTTCGTCAATTTTGTGCCTCCCAGCAACGGCGCATTCTCCTCCGTCGCCCGGGGCGCGTGAAAGTGTAGACCACCTGAGGCCCAAATCAAACGTATTGAGGTGGCTTCCCAGTGGTTCTCCGTTGTTTTGGTGCTTTCCACGGGTAGGTTTCTTATGTTAGATTTTTCCGGTGGTTTGTCCTTCTAGGGGTGGTTTGTGAAAAGAACGATGGCTGAAAAGAATGGAAAAGGCATCAACCCTAGAATTGGATCCTTCTGATGTGTCGGGTGACATCCTGCACCAAAGGACGGAACAGGAACCTTTTCCCCCCGACAAATCGGGCGCAAACCAGCTGCCCAGAGGCCCAATGGTTCGGTTTCCTGGCAGTTGGCCCCCCTTTCCCCAGCGGCTCACCCCGGACTCCGGGCCGCCGCGCCCAGGCGCGAGCGCGGGGGCGCGGGGGGCGGTGGCGCCGGCGCCAGCGGCAGCAGCGCCCCGCCGGCGTCGCGCAGCTCGCGGCCGAGGGTCTCGTGAGAAAGCGGAAGCGAGCTGAGTCACTTGCTCAAAACCGGTATTAAACTGGTCGATCCCCAGAACCATCTCTCAAGAATTAAGAAGGCGGATATCCGCAGCTATGTATGGTTGGGATTATCCCTTACTAACCTTCATCTACGTGGGTTTTCTTGAGTCTAAGGGTGGAAGTACATACCCCCTTGTTCATACCCCTTGGCTTCCGCGGTTTCCAACCCACTTTGTAGAGGGAAAAACACGCTTTTGGGGAGAGGGGTATGAACATCAGGAGGCTTTTGGGTTCATTTGTCCAAGGGGTATGTAAAAGGGGTATGTACAAGCAACCATGGGTTGAGGGTACTCCTTTGTTGGGGTTGGTTCCAAGGGAAACCAGAAGGCAAACCATCATGTGTTTCATCTGAGGTGGGTTTGAAGGGGAATCAAACGGAATGCATTTTGAGGTTCCCCTATTTTGTCACACACACACATGTGTTTTCTGCCTACTTTTGTTCCAAAAGGAAAGACTTGAGATGTTTTCTTCTTGCGGGGGTTCCCCTGTCGTTGCGGGTGGTCTTAATCCAAAGAACAAGTATCCATTTAGTTTGGGGGAGGGGGGGCACCTTTTGAGCTTTGGCTTGGGAACATATTCTTTCATTTGCTCAAGCCCCCTGGAAAAATACAATGTACAGTAGTGATCGGTTCCCCTTTAAAACAAACAAGATAAAATTAAAAATATTCTTAAGAAAATGGAAGTATTTGTCCAACCACTGTTTCCCTTGTGCCCTCATTGCGGGAATTTTGAGACAGAGGAGACTCTGTCCATCTCCACCAGGCGCAAATTCAGGGCTTGAAATCCCTTCTCAGACTTTGAACAACTGAGGACTAGAAGTTACCCACTCAAAATTTTGACCCGCTCACTACCAGGCTCTCCATGGAGGGTGGTTAGGCAAGAGGCGGGCAAGAGCAGCTCAGAAGAGTAATCCGAGAGAAAGTTGTAGAAAAGCTGTAGGGGTTGGTTCCCCATTGTTTTCTCGGGTTTTTGGAGGTTTTCTGAAGAAAAACAAGAAGGATCCCTGGAAAGAATGGAAATGGGAGGTACCCCTGGAAAAAACATGTTTTGAGAACACCGCTCAAATTCAGATGCCTTGGCAGGGATCTTTTTTGGAGCATGTTTGGGAGAACGAATTAGCGGGGATACGCGGGAAGCGGGGATGTGCGAGGACTCTGTGTAAAGGAAACCATGTCTAAACATTACCTGAAACATATGCCCACATCCCTGCTTCCCCTGCATCCCGTGTGGTCCCCCACTTTGGGACCCAGTACGTGACACTGTGAAGTGGTTGGGACACGTATCCCCCCCTAAGAACCACAGGTATGTGTCTTGATTTTTATTGGGCTACATATCCTACATGCATGATGGCCATTGGTTTTACTACCATTTTACCAATGTTCGCTTGAGGGTATTGAACAGCATGTTGACTGGAGAAGAATGCCACCAGAAGAAAAAAAAAAAAGAGGAACCGCCATGACAGAAACCGTCATGCTGGAATGTTTATGTTTCGCACGTTTGCCCAGTGCAAGCATGCTGACACGACTGATATGTGGTTGAATTCTGGGATGTGTGACCGCATGTTACCACATGGGCAATGCTCAGGGATCCGATATTTTTCCAAAGACCGAGCTGATGGGGATACGGCGGATTCTTGAAAAGAGCGCTGAACAACCCACTTTCGGTCGAGTGGAATGGCTAAAACAAGCTCCCAAACGTTATGTTTGCCACTAAAATGGTCCAAACCTAAACAGTTTACAGTCCAAAAACTTGGGAAGCGCGAGAAAAAAAAGGGGCACCAGCCCCACAAGATGCTGTCACCGCTCCATCCCTCCAACAATCGCCTGCGCAGGGGGCCCCTGCAAGCCACTCGCCTGGAGCCGTCGGAGCTTCGACATGTCCGGCGGAGTGGCTTGAAAAGCCACACAGTTTGCTTCAAATGGCTGTGGGTCAACAATAGGTATCCACCATGGAACCCTGGTAAATGCAAACACGGACGTTAACCCGCTTGAATCCGGAACCTCACTTCCTGAGTGGCTGGGGCAAAAACAGATTGAACTTGTTGTTTACCACCAAGATGGTCTAAATCTAAACCCCAAAAGTTGAAAGTCCACGAGCTCGAGGCTCAGGGAGTGAGAAATTTGCTGTGGGTGTCCTTTAATGTACCCATTCCTGAGGTGTTTCCTGCTTAGTCAGCTTTGTTTGGTCTTGATGGGAGGTTTGGGGCTGTTTTCTCAAGTTTTTTTCAGCAGCAACCCGTCTGATCCCAAGCCAGTCTAAACCTCCAATGCAGGGCTTGAAATGCGGATACCTCCCAACGTGGGTGGCACTCCTTTGATTTCCCTTGAAACAACCCGACAACACCCTCTAAACAAAAACACCACACACATAGCATCTGGGAAGGCAAGAGACTGCTGTATATCTCAACCCTGTTGCTGGACAGTAGTTCAGACTCAAAACCAAACAGCTTCAAGACACAAAACAAACACCAACCAGCTAAAGATCCGACCCTGTTGCTGGTCAAGCTCGTCAGGAGCAGCTGCGCCGTCATGTTGGAGTCTTTGTTGCAATTCAGGAGTACTCAGGGAAGCAACCGGAGCTAAGGGGGTTTGGACTCTGGACAAAGAAAACATGCACCTGTGGTTCCTTGAGGGCAAATTATGCATGGCTTAGTGCGCATCCAGTATTGCTACTCAAATTCTCACCTAGAATTGTCTTTGTATAGTGCCTTCTCTTGCCCAAGTGGCTATTCAAAGGAAACGGTGCTTCTCATTAGCGGGGTGGACAGCAACTACGCTCACAGAGTAGAAATGCACCCAATTGAATTGCGAACCTCCTCCTCCTCCTGTTCCTTTGACTTTGAAAGTGCTACTTGCATAGGTCAATGCATAGGTGCCCCTTTTGGCAGTTTGGTTGAAGATAGACGGCCCTGGTCGCAGCCAAAAGGTCACCTAGAAAATTCACCCTGATTTGTAGAGGAAGCCCCTTTTAGGGAATCGGACCCTGCCACGCTTTCGCCATTGCACTCTACCTCGTGAATTGATTAATATGAGGGGCGAAACAACTACACAGAGGCAGACAGAATTGCACTATGATTATGACCTTGGCCTAGACTCCCCAATCCCATTCTAATTATCTAGGATGCTTCCTATGGGCTTGGGTGCTTCTTCTCCGGCTCGGTACCTGTTTCCTATTCAACAAAACACCTAAAAGCAATACCCCAACCCATCGCTTTGCTTTTTTGGTGGTGATTTTGACACACACGCTCACACGATTGAACATTTCCCTCATGTTTCTTTGGGGTCCCTCCGATTTTTCGGTGGGGTTTCTCCCGCCCAAAAACGACGTCCGTCCGTCCGAGGTGCGGCCAGCTGCAGCGCCGGGGGCGGGCGATTCTTCGGGAGCTTGGCCAACGCCTCCTCCTTGAGCTGCTCCACGTAGGCCTCGAGGAGGAAAAGGCGGCTTGTATCGGTCAGTATCGTTTTTTCCTCAGCATCGGTTTGCAGTGTTTTGGCAGCTCTAGCTCGAAAGTCGCGACTTTTCCGTACAAGTAGTCGCGACTTTTCAGTCCAAGTGTATTCAAAGTAAATTTTGACAGCTCCAGCTGGAAAGTCGCAACTTTTCAGTACAAGTGTAGTAGACAAAGTGCATTTTGGCAACTCCAGCTGGAAAGTCGCAACTGTCAGTAGCATACGCAGTACACTTTGGCTGCTCCGGCTTGAAAGTCGCAGCTTTTCAGTGAAAGTAAGTGTAGTATACAAAGAACATTGTGGCAGCTCCAGGGCGGAAGTCGCAACTGTTCAGCACAAATGTAGTACACAAAGTACATTTTGGCAGCTACAGGAACGGCTGCAAGGCAGCTAGTTGGATTCGGCATGGCGGCTAATGAGTTGGGTATCGGTCGGGCATCGATTTGGGTATCGGCCTGGGCCCGCAAATTTACGATTCCGCAATCTTGGTTTGCGACAACAACTTTGACCTGATGTGTGTCTTCATGGCTTCTGGCGGTATCTTTTCTTCTCACAATGGTTTTGGCCTGCAAAACAAGTCAAGGGACGGCCCCTTACATAACGAAAAGGCGCAGGCGGTCTTTTCAGCCCAGGTGAGGTGAGTAGGAGTTTTAACATGGCTCCCAGTGCTTCCATGTCTTATTTACGACTCAAATGGTCTTCTCAAAAAGCTTCAAGTCCATGAACTCACGGAGTGAGCTATAGTGAGTAATCCCTATCAGGTTTGACATCATGGCTTCCGGCTACCTATAGTGGCTTGCCTGGAAGCACTGGGGTTCTAACTGGCGCGCCCACTTACCTGACGTTGGCTGAGCATCCAAGTGGGCCTACGGCAGTTGCCGGAAATCAGGCCCGGGCTTTGCTGGACGAAATACTCTGGGAAGCCACCGGGGCAAGAAATCCGGATTCTCTGGACTTGTTCTTTTCGAGCTGATTGTGTGTTGGTCCAAATCCTGTAGGCACCCACCTTCCGATCTTAATGAATCCAAAAAGGGCCAGGGGCGAGACACGCTCTCCTCCAAGTCAACCAGGGTCTTCTCAACCCCAGGTGCCCAGTGGAAGGATCGATGCATCTTTGCATGCTGCAAACCTCAAACGGGCTTCTTGTTTTTTCCCCCGAAAGAAACCGGATATTGCGTCGCAAGCCGGACGGAACCGCTAGAAGAGGGGTGCAACATGTCGGGTTCGATTGATCCGTGGTCCGCCCCAATTTGTTGGTTGTTTGTCCCCTTCATGGTTTGCCTCGGAGCAACCCCAAAAAAAAAACGGATCATGTTGACCCCCAGTTCCTCTTTCCTCATTGGAGGGGCTGGGGGGACCTTCTGACCTTCAGGGAGGGGTTCAGGGGCTCCAGCGCTACCCCCACACCCACCCCAGCACTCAGGCCCGTCGGGGCCCCGGCGTGGCGCTTCTTCTGCTGCTTGCTGGTGATCTGCACGCACAGATCCTCCTCCGCCACGCCGCCCAGGCGTTCTGCGGGCGGAAAAACAAAAAAACTTCAGCCCCTTTCAGCGGAAGGGGGTGGACAACTGGGGCTCGTGGGCCGTGGGGGACGAGTTCCAAATGAAGCCTGACCATGGGATGCTAATCTAGGTCCTCCAGTAGAGAGGTTAGAATAAGGGTACCAAACTTTTTCTGTAGTCTATTTTAGTAGGGGAACCCTTCCCCAAAAAAGGGTAAAAGGGCACTTCGGGGGGACCTAGCAATGCTAGTAAAAATTCAGCCCCTTGCCTTGTTGCTTCGCGGAAGAATCGGAAATCCCTGCTCACGTCCTCGTCACTGATTTGAACTCTCAACGCTGAGGCCCGGACTGACACAAAGGCCGATCAATCTCCGGCTCTTCCCAAAGATTCCCATCTTATCCCAAAGAACCTCGGTTGCTTTCTGCTCCCCTGCTAAAAGTGACTAACTTTTAGTGGTTTAATTCGGAAAACCCCATGAAAGTTGGCAAAAAGTGGTTCAGTCCGTACATCCCTTGGCAAAATCCGCCCAAGGAACCTGGGATCCAAAACCTGAGGCCGGCCGGAAGTGAGGCCCTGTTGGGCCAGGCCAGCTCCCCATTCAAAAGAGGACAGGCTTCCTGAAAAGACAAACCGTCCTTATGAAGAACCAAGTGATGTCTCACACAAAAACCTATTAACCAACAAGTGATGTCTCAAAAAAAAACAAGGGGAAAACAACAACACGGGTTGCCCAAAAGAATTGCCGTTGCGCTCCCGCTGAAGGAAAACGAGAACAAAAAACTCGAGCGCATCCGCCTCGAAAGTTCCGCATCCGGTCGCCGCTCGGGCGCATCTCGGAGGGCATGGCCTGGCAGTGGCTGCCTATCGGGGACCAGCCTTCTCCTTTTGTCCGGATGAGCCGCCTGGAAAAAATGCAAACATATGTTGTCCAGTAGGGATAGATTCCCTTTAAACCAACAAGGAAAAAAACAAAAAGTCTTAGGCAAATGGAAAGCCTATTTTAAATGCAACAAACAACATGGCTGGTTATGTCTAGCTCACTTCCTAGCTGGCCTAGACAAGCCGAAACTCTAAAAGGAATCACTGAAATGGTCTTCCGAACACGTTTCAAATCCAGAAACTCGCGGAGTGAGAGTGATATTTGCCTATTTGCCCAGACGTTTTCCCCTTCCCCCCACAACGGCTCCCAAATGGTTTGTCAAGACGTCACGCATTGAGGGCCATTTGACAGCCACCTCTTGGGTTTTGGATCTTACTCAGTTTCTCTTCGTTTGGTGTGAGGTCCTTTCGGTAGGGTATCGGTTGGAAGGCCTATAGGCATAAATCAATTGTTCAACAGGAACCCAACCAGGTTGGGGCTCCAGAAATTTGTATGAGTCGCAAATATGATTCAACCGCCATTGCTTAAACAACCTCGTTTTGGTTTCCCATTTTTAGGGAGGACCAGGATCTGGTTGCTTAAACACATTGCCCAACCCCGGTTTCTCCTAAACATCACCCCATCAAAATCAGCCTCACTTCAAATGAGCCCAATCCTGCAGCCAATCCTATGGTCAATCCTGTCTGAGTAAACAGTTTTGACCAAAATAGGGGGACCCCAAAATGGATGGATTTTCCCTTGGGCTTCCCTCTAAGCCGAACTGAAAAGGTGAAAAGGGTCACACACACAAACAGACACAGACACAAACACCAACACAGACACAAGCACAAGCACAAACACAGACTGAAAAACACAGGCTCGCACAAACACACACACACAGACACACACAGACACACACACAGACACACACACACACAGACACACACACACACAGACACGCACAGACACACACAGACACACACAGACACACACAGACACACACACACACAAACACACACACAGACACACACACACACAGACACACACATAATACAGACTTATACACACTTATTCACACGTCTACACACGTCTACAGACGTACACACACAGACACACTCACACACTTCCCCCCACACACACACACACACAGCTGCAAACAAACACACACACACACAGACACACGCACACACGCGCACACACACACACAAAGACACACAAAGACACACAAAGACACACAAAGACACACAAAGACACACAAAGCCACAACAATACACAATACACAGAGACATGGAGACACATCGACACAAGGAGACGAAACACACACAAGAGACAGAAACAAACAAACAAACAAACAAGCAAACAAACAAGCAAGCAAGCAAGAAAGCAAGCAAGAAAGCAATAAAGCAATAAAGCAAGAAAGCAAGAAAGCAAGAAAGCAAGAAAGCAAGAAAGCAAGAAAGCAAGCAAGAAAGCAAGAAAGCAAGAAAGCAAGAAAGCAAGAAAGCAAGAAAGCAAGACAGCAAGAAAGCAAGAAAGCAAGCAAGCAAGCAAGCACACAAACAAAAACAACATAAAAAAACAAGCTACTAAAGCCCACAAACAAACACACACACACACACACGTTGAACTTGCCCAACACCTGTTGACATCTGACACCGCGAACTCGAAATCGGGGCACTACGCAAATTGATTTCGTGGCATCTGAGGCGAGGACGCCCAAGCGCTTGAAGCTCTGCGCCAGCTGCTTCTGCATCATATTCAGCTCCGGGCCTGAGACGCCGCTTCATGTACCCGTTTTAAGGGTTGCTTCCAAGGGAAATCCAAAAAAAATCAACCATTTGGAGGTGCCCCTAGTTTGACACATACCTGAATACCCGAATGGGCCCTCTCTGTTTGTGGGGACAAGCCGAAAGGCGCCCTTCCCTGTTTATCATGAAACGTTCCCAAAACCCGATTAGTGTGGCTTTTTAGAAGGGTTCTGAGTATCTGGTAATCACCCTTTTTGCTGGTGGTTTTATCCAACAAGCTAACTAGTAAATTCTACCGAACATCGTCCATTTCCCTGGTGTTCCGGTCTTTGGCGGGTATTCGGCCAGCTTGAAGAAACTCCGGTAGCTGGCTATGATTCACAGAAAATTAAGAGAAACTACATCAGTTCGGAGGTTAAACCATACACGAACCCGATTCCCGAGGCTCAAAGTTTGGGCCGTGCACTCAAACAGCCTAGAAAGCTAGCTCATTGTTCTCGCGCTGCCAAGCTCACCGTTCCCAAGATTGGGCCCTCGAGTTAAACTAAAAAACTTGATGAGTGGATGGATTCCACGTTGGAAAGCTTTGCTTTTGGAATCTTCTGGCTGGTGCATGTGAGTCACCAACCGAGATAACAAATGGATAGGCATGTTGAAACAATTCGTGTTTCAGCAACCTCTTGTTGGCTTCCCTTAGCTGGACCCCGGGTCTCGTTGCTTCAACACAATTTGCCCGGGGGGTACTGTCGTTCTTAGTCTCATGGACATTTAGAGTCCACTAGCTGTTTGCTTAGCCGACTTCAACCCCCATCAAAAGAATGTTTGACCCAATTTGGACGATGCCACTCCTTGAGTAAGCGGTGGGCTCGGTTGTACGGTAGGCTTGGGCTGGGTTCAGGGAAAGGGTAGGTTAAGGGTAGGTTAAGGGTTGGTTTAAGGTAGGTATGACGTTCATTCCTGGGACTCAGAAATCAGTAGAATCCCTCCATGGCCCATGGCCCACGGCTGGTACGGTGGCAACTGCACCCGAGGGTTCGGGTACTCAATTTTGAGGGTCCTTGGCTGCAAATCATACTCTCACGTCCGTACTGTGGATGGACAAAATCCGTTCGCGCCACTGTGAAACCATGAGAAGCCAGTTGTTTGTTGAGGTATTTGTAGTGAACGCATCATTCCCGGGTTTCTTAGGTCCTTAGGTGGTGCGAAATGGATTTTGTCCGTCCACAGTAGCACCCCTCAAAGTGGCTGAGCTCATTCTGAGGACAGCTCCATCCAGCTTCCCGGCCTTGGGCATATGCACAACGTCTTAGGTCTCAGTCTTCTAGGGGTTGATTCCCCATTCTTTTCAGCCATCGTTCTTTTCAAGAACCGATCGCCATTTCCCCAGGGTTTTGGGTGGTTTTCTAGAAGGAAGGATGCCTGCAAAGAATGGAACTGGAAGTTACCAAACTACTCAAACTACTAGGACGCCTGTCCGCCAATACTGGCATGCAAATGGAACATTTCTTGCCGTGCTGCAGAACTGGCCAATCTTAGAGCAGGGATCACGAGGCTTCTGTTTTCCTTGGGTCTTAACTGGACGGTGTTTTGGTCTAGTTCCAGGTGGGCTTGCGCTTAGTGTGATGTTTGGCGGGGCTCTAACTATTTTGTTACACAAGTACACAGGGGTTTCAATGCGACCTGCGGTCTCCGAGGTTAAAATATTCTAAGAGGAAATCATTGGTTTGTGTTGGCTGGCTGAACCAATGCTTGCCCAACTGACACTTCAATGGGCGCTTGCTCCTTGTATTCCCCCTTGAACATCGCCCCACCAGAAGAAAAGTCACCTCCATCTTGCGCATGATCCAAAGGGTGATGTGAAACCAATGAGGAAATAAGTGGAGACCCCCGTTGGAAGGATCAAACATTGCAGTTTCATGGTCATGAGAAGGGTTCTCCAATAACTGGTGCAATGTAAAGTATGATGACCCTGTCTTCAGGGTTTTCTCAAGGATCGTCTAGGAGTTTGGGTTCTCCATTGCAAGAGCTAAACAGTCTCCCTTGAGATCTTGGGCGTTAGAATCCTAGCATCGACCATGACAGTGTTGCTCCGAAATTCCTGGCAAGGTAGATAAATTGGCTCCGGGCATTCCATTTCCCTGCATAGCAGGTAACCAAGCAAACCACTGTCTACAGGAGGAACATGGCTGGTTACCTAATGTGTCTTGCCTGGCGGCTACTTACCTACTGGGCTTAGGTGTCCCAGGAACAGGGAGCATGTCGGACTGTGAACTTGATTTGCTTAATTGAGCAGGGTTTTCCTACATTCCCAAAACAAACACACACACAGAGACACCAACCAAACTGACCGAATAAATTGGCATGTCACACAGAGTGGCTAACAACCCATCCTTAAAAGGGAAAGCCTTTCGACGAGAGGCTGAACACTTGGCACGGACCTAAGGCCAAAGGCTTGATATGCCCCAAAGGCTAGAACTAACACCACGTAACCAGGGGTCAGTTTCTAGCTTAGCATCAGGCTTCCTAAAGGCCTTTGCGTGCTTCGCCGGTCAGTGAAGGGTGCCCAGACCACCGAAACCCAAAGGTCCTAGCCATGGAGAAACCTGTGACTTACCACTTGCCCAGCGGCGCGCTGCCGGGGGTTGAAGGAAACCCTTGTTGGGCTGCACCACGTATGTCGACTTCCGCAAAATCCGGGTGACCATGAGGGGAAGTGTCCGAAAAACATGGACTTCTTGGACGGATTCCTGAGATTTGAGACGGTCAACTCCGGGTTCTGATTTTGGAAAACCCAACGCGAAGGGATTACAATGAGCGTGAATCTTGGTCGGGGACTTTATTGAAAGGGATTGTGCGGAACCCGGTTTCCCTCTGAAAAACCACCGAAACTGTGGTGCTCCCTTTGGTTTCCCTTAAACCCAATCTGAAAGAAACCACACCCTAAGCAATCCCTCGACTCGGTGACTCGAAGCCAAGGCTTTGGCATCGGGCGCCCAGAGGTTCAGTGCCTCGTCCTTGGGCTGGGCCTTCTTCTTCCTGTGGGCGATCCGCTTGGGTGCGGAGCCATTTTTTTCGGTTGGACCAAATTGATGGCAATTTGGCTCCGACAAAGGTACCAAGTCCAATGAAAGACACACCCGCGGTGTTTGGCCAAGATCAGTTGATAGCCTAGGTGAAAAGGGATGAAGCTTCTTCTGCGATACCCAAGTAGGCTTCCCCCAAACAAAACAACAAGCAAACAAGCCCAACAAGGAAACTCAAAAGACCTCCAAAAAAAAACAAACCAACAAACCAACAACATCAACAAAAACAACAAAACCAAACAAACCAACACGCCCAACAATGGCGGCACCCAAAACCATCGCCCGCGCCTCTTGCCAGGTCGCTGCCGCACCTGTCGAACTTCAAAACACGTCGACGCGGGCTCACGCAAAGCACGGCATGTGGCGTGGGGCCCCGGTCCTCAAATGGCAACGGTGGCCTGATGCTTGGGCCCCTTTTTGGGGAGTCCCCTTTTTTGAGGGGTCCCGGGTCCCCTTTTTTGGGGCCCACCAGCTTCAGGGCCAATATGGCTTGCCATATGGACCCCATATTGATCAACCACCGTTCGTAGAAAGAAGAGTGGGCGCCAAACTGGGGTTGATCAATATGGAGGCAACATTATTGGTGTCCCTCAAATGCCAACTAAGATGGGGTTCAAAATGGAGGAACTCTCAGGCAAGTGTAGGGGCACATTTCGGCAAGTCATTTTGGTGGGTCACACATGCTTCTAGTTACTAGTTTTCACAAAGGTGAGAGCCTGTGATGCGCGTTGGTTGTTGTTACCTCCACGACAAGTCTTGTTGTATTTTCTACATGTTTTGCTACTCCCCTCTCTTGGTTTCAAAAGGGAATCGATCACTACTTGAAAACATTGTTTTTTTGTCCAGGGAACTTGAGCAAATGGAAGTTTCTCTTGCCGGAAATCATGTTAACCTGGCTTAATACACCCTCCCACCCCAGAATTTCTCAGAAGTTGCAAGCGGGTTCCTTGCGGAGAAGGCACTGCGGAGTTGAGGAGATAAGGTTTTAGTTGGGCCGGAGTTGAGATCACTTCTATTTGCGCAGGAGATGTTCCTGCCGAACGCCGGCTGGTACTGGACGCCCACGTCAGAATGTAAAACTGTTGAGTATTGAATCCCGAAACCGCACCTTAGTAATCGGTGGTATTTGTTTATCCAATGTCAACATTATGTCGATAAAATTCTAGGAGTTTAGATATCTGTTTCACCACCATCAGCCCGTGTGACTTGCTATTCTTATTTACCACAAGGACGCGGGGACACTGAGGTCGTCCCCTGATGTCCAAGCCAAAACCAATAGTAGACTATAACCAATATTGTAAGCATCAGATCTGGGTTCACATCCCCCCCAAAAGGTACCTTCGTTACATGCCCATAGATTGATCTCTTTTCACTCAGATCTCTTGGTGTCCAAGGCTAGGCCAAAACCACCAGTGGAGTCTCCAGAAATGACGGTCATGGTCCACTTGTGGCCGGGAAGGAACTTGGGGTAGTGGGTCTTGCCAAACACCCAAAGACCCACATGGAACTTCCAAGCGAAAAGGTCATACCCCGTTCTTCGAATCATTCGATCCTGAGGGGTTGATTTTACCAGACTTTCTTTAATGACAAGGGCTCCACTTACATCCTATTTCAAGCAAGCCTCGCCACTTGAAGGGACTCCTGGACTCGTCGCTCCTCACATCCATCTTGTCCATGCTTATGGGACACTGTCTGTACAACGAGAGTAGGATAGGAACTTGTTGCCTTAAGTGGCATTCCCTCACTCGCAAACAGTGGCGAAAAACCACGAGTTTGTCAGCCCATGCGCACCTGGTTCCCGTCATCGTAGCTGTCGCCCCTGGAAAGAAACAGCTCTAGACATTACTGCGGCGCATTGCTACCACCGCGGTTCAGCTGAGTCATGATGAACACTTGGTACTCAAGCGGTCTACCCAACACCATGGGTAAAGCAAGAGTAGCGAACAACTCTCCGAGAGTGCTTTTGAGTTGGTGTGCTGGTGATTTAAGTGTGTGTGTGTGTTTCATTGTTTGCCTTCGATTACATTTATTTGTTTTTGTGTGTGTGTGTCACTGCTTGTGCCTGTGTCTGTGCGTGAATGCGTCTGCAGGCATGCGTGCCCGTGTTTGCATGTATGTCCGGTTGCGTCTTTAGTATTCGTGCTTGCATGCCATCGCATGCATGGTGTTTGTGAATATAAAGGCCTTTGTGTATCTGTGTGGGTGTGTAGGCTCGTGTTTGCGTGTGGGCATGTATATCTAGTTTGTGTCTGCACCTGTGTTCGTGCTTGCTTGCGTGGGTGCGTGAGTGCATGCTTGTGTGTGTATATGTCATGTGTGGTTCGCGCATACTTCTCGTCGAGGTTGTGTTGCTTGTCTTGTGTGGTGTGTTGCGTGCCGCTTGTTGATTGTTGCATCCAGTGTCTAGTTTGCGGCGTCTGCCGGCTATCGACTGTTGCGTGCAACTCACTGTGTGTGTGTGGGTTGTGTTGCTGTGTGTTCTGTTGTTTGGCCCCTGTTGCAGTTTGATGTCAATTGGCCATGTGTGTCGTTCTTGTGGTTGTCCTGCGCTTCTTCGGGTTGTGCGAATGTGTTGCTTGTTGGTTCTTGCACGTGCTGTGCGCTGCATGTTTCGTCCTGTTGTATATGGGTTGGTGTCCTTCTGCGTGCGGTTTTGTGTGTGTTGCATGCTGTGTGGTGCGTTTCGTGTGTTGCTACTGCGCGTTGTGCGTGGCCTGTCGTAGCCTTCGGGATAGAATGCCTAGTAGTTAACAAGACGCCCCAATTGCGTCCATAGGTCTTTCCAGCCAAGGACAACCCGCTTCCCCCCAAAAAAAAGAGAAGGACAGTGCCCTTCAAACACCATGCCAAAGGGGATCTCCCAATTTCAAGACACCCACAGTTTCACGCTGGGTGTTCATTTCAAATGGACCCGGGACCCCCAGATATTGGCCCCTACCCGTCTCGGCACATGCCCAAAGAACCTCGACCTCTTCCCGCTCTGAGCCGCAGACTCCTCGTCTTGCTTCTTCCCCCTTGGACGGTCGAGCTCTCTAAATGGTCATTTGAAGGAACCTCTCCCCCACTCCAAATAGCATTTTGTGCACCCCTGGGTTTTTCCCCGGAGTCTTTGCCCAGATAGATTCTGGGGTGGTTCTTCAGGGAGGGTTCCGGAAGGGCTCCGGGGCTGTGGGGGATACCACTTGGGCTTATTTCTCTAGGGGCCCCAAATAGCTCGCAGTTTCAGGCCCGCCCAATTTTCCAAGGCGCTCCGCGGAGATGTTCAAGTTGAGGCCCACCGGCACGCCCTTCTTCCTGGCCTGCCAACGGATCGGGGAATCCGACAGCTACAAGGAAAGCACCAGGAAACCAAATACCCATAGCCCCCCCCCCCCCCGCTTTGGCCGTTTCAGAGGGGTTGTAAGGGGAAATGGGGTGGGAACCCGGAGAGCACAAACCGGACAGCTCCCGAAAAGTGGAAAGAAGCACAAAGAAGGTGGGTGGTCCGTTGCCCAACTCTCTTGCAGTACCTCAAGCGCGCAACCTACACTAGAGGGCGTGTCTGATAAGGTCCTGACAAAAAAACAAAACAACGAGAGTCTGCCAAACAAAAAAGTCGTATAGCTAAATTGATAGCCCAGATACCAGGGTTTACTATATACAGGTAACGTGTTGCGGAGCTGCGGGTTATTGACCACTTAGCAAACTCCCGGACCATCAACCAAAGCGGTTCCGGGCCAAAAGCACCTCAAGCAAGTGTTGCACTCCTGTCAACTCGGACCGCTAACGCAGGACATTCAGGACATGCACGGGAAAAAAACAACAACAATCAATAGAAAACACAGGCAAAACAAACCCAGATCCAAACCTTGACGAGCCCAATCTTGTTCTCCGAAGATAAGCCCTGATGACTTTGAAAGTTCCAACTGAATGGACGCCGGCGTGAAACGCCCGAGTAACCTACCCACGGGTACCAAAAAAAGGCAACCCGTGAAAAGTTGATGAATTCACTGGTGGTTTCCATTGAAACGACGCCACTTTGCATCTCTACTCTTGGTATGGTAGCAAAAGACTTTGTTTTTTGCAGACCCCCAGTAAAAATGAACAGAACCAAACAACTGAAAAACAAAAACACATGCCAAGAACAGTGAAGTTTGGGTGGTTCTGCAAAGGGAACTTCGGTCACAGCTCCCCTTCCAAGGTTCCGCGATGCGCTTTTCGGGGCTGGGGCAGGGTCTTGAAAACCACTCGTGTTTTTCTTTGGGGGAGTGTTCCCCTACACTTCTTTGGCCCCAAGGTAAACTCTTTGTTCGAAATGCCCTTCCATCTCTTCCCATGGTAAAAAGTCCAGACAGTCCAGACACTTTGGGATGCGGCTCCATCGCAAGAGGAACCTCATCGAAAAGAAGGCTTCAAGTGAGCAAACATCAAGAATACAGCTGAGTATTTCAATCGGCTAAAACGTCCATCCCTGGTTGTAGGAAGCTTTTAGAGCCACGCGCGAATGGCGCCTCGTTCTTCTGCAGTCGAAGCTCCTCGGTGGCGATCCTGAAGTCACCTCACGCGAGCCCGCCGGGGCTGGTGGGGGTTATGGCAGACCACAAATGGCTGTGGCTCAAAAAGCCGGTACCAAAATGGAACCCTGGTAACTGTTTAATTTTGAGCCACACCCAAATGAAAATCAACCTGGCGGATGTACAGGATGTATGGGGTGGTGTTTCTTTCAAGCGAGCCGGCAGATGTAGAGGGTGTGTTCGATTGAAATTTCAAACCCCCTATTGAACAAAGGGTTCATTGATCCTGGGCAAGCATGGGATGCATAGGATGGGGTGGTGTTTCCGCTATTGAACAAAGGGTTCATTGATCCGCTCGCATGTCGGAATCAGGGCCATTCTCTGCCGTTTTGCTTGTGATGCCCAAGGCGAAACCACTTCATGGTCCTGCGTCTCCTCCCTGAGTTCTGTCTTTCCCGGCCGCTTGCAGAACCCAAAGTTCCAAAGGCGCTTAAAACCGCCGAGGCGCTAATGCGCTCGATGAGCCGCTCACAGCTCAGGACCTCAGGCGGAACCCTTTTTCAAGCAACGCCGCTCACGGCGCACGGGAAATCGCCTTTTGGAAAGCCACCGTACACCGTGAATGTCTGGTTGTGGTTGTTGGCTCGACCCATGGACATGGGGAAAAACAGATGCATTCGGGTATATATTATATATATGATACATGCTAGCCCCTTTAATGACTGCGTATTAGGTTTTACGCGCTTTCCCTAAAAGAAACCAGAGGGGCATCACATATATATATATACACATACATATATGTATAGAGAGAGAGGGAGATAGAGAGAGAGCTAGAGACACAAAACAAAGAAACAGTCCTGGACATTGCGTAGCCTTGCTCCTAGATTGAAATCTGGACCAACCCGGCTCCTAGGCGTGAAAGTAGATGGCGCAATATCCTTCATCTGGCTCAATAAGGAATGATGACTAGCCAATGATGGAATGGTGGTACGTAGCTTCACCCAACACAGGTTCCCCTGCCTTTCCCCACATGTACCTTTCCCATTTATCAAAGACTCCCTTCCAAATGCCACCCAAAAGCTCATGTCTCAACAGAGGCCTCTTCTTTTTCTGGGTCCCATTTTTTTGGGGAACCCCCCCCCTCCGTTTCACCCGTGGGCTCCACGTATCGACTCGAAACCTTGAGGCGGGCGCCGTGCGCTTCAGCTCCCGGATCAGCGGGTCTTGCTTCGCGCGCTCGGAGACGACCCCGGACACCACGGACGCCACGAAGAAGATCTCACCGGCTTGCAGGAAGCGGGCAGGAAGCCGTGAATGAATGTATGTATGTGTATATATATATATATATATTCTATGTATATATATATATCATTTCATATAGATACCATGCGTGTATGCCTATAAGTGTGTATATATATATATATGGCCTGGCCATATGTACTAATATATACATATATATATATATATGATACTAACATTACATATATAGCTATACAAACTCATGGCAGATTTGGACGCTGATGCCTGGTTTCCCATAAACAAGCCATGAGCAATGAATGGTGGGAAAGCTTTCGGGAATCTGTGAAAACTCTACTGGAAGTTTCCAAATATGGCTTTTGTGACCCCCAAAAGGGGATATAATCAAACCTATCCCCCCAAAAAAAAGAAAAAGACAAGCAAAACCAAAAAAGAAGCGATACCATCCCTATGCCAAAAATGGACATCCGAAAACATGTCCCGGTCTAATGGCTAGACGTCTGAGGGGTCCAACTCTGTTTGGCTCCTTGCATGTCCCTTGCAACATGTGTGTGTGTGTACCCATTTTGGGGGCGGTTCTGAAGAAAATAAACACCTCGAGCAAATCCGGACGACCGTTCTACTATCCCCGTGACATGTTGATCACTTGCCGTCTAGACTGGAAACCACCCCTCGGTCCCTGGCACTGCCGCTTTACACACAATACAAGCGTGCTTTCCCCGTGCGTTTCAACTGCAATCCCGGGAAGACCTCAGCAACTTCAGTGGGAGCTACGTCCTTGGAGAGCCACAGCCTCCTGAAAACGCTTTGGGGAGAGCCACAAAGGCCGCGAGCGTCCATGCTCAAAATGACATCACCATGTCCCAAGCCGTGGTTTTGAGAACCCCCGCCGGAGCTAGAGAAGACACCTATTAAACATCTACGAAGAAGGATAATTCGACATACTGCCAGTTGGAGCTTTGCAGCGTGCCAAAATGGTTTGGACGCAGTTTTGCTCCTTGGTGGCTGACAGGCCATCATTAAACGCATCTTTGCTCACAGGGGGAGACCCAGTCTGAAAATCCCCGTCCCTAAGGGGGGGGGGGAAGTGGGGGACCTCAAAAAATGCAATTTATTTCTTTTTTTTGGGGGGGTAGCCCTTGAAATATTTCAATTAGTCTAAAAGAAGGAAAAAGGGCTGGAGGTTCTGGGAAGGGAACTGGGCCTCGAAGGCTTGCTGCCGAGGAGCTATCGCTGACAAGAACTGCTTACCTGTCAGCCGAACGCTGCCACGGCACTAAGAGGGAAATACCGGCATATCGATACTCAGGTTTGCTGGAAGGGCGTGCGATTCTGCGCACCAAAGCCGGCCGGGCAACCAAATGGTGCACCTTTTCAACGTATTGTTGAGGCCAACACACAAGTGACTGATCTACTCTCAATCACAAGCGGGCTTTTGCTGATCACCCTCTTGAAGCCGGCAGGAAGAGAAACAACAACACGCGTTGAACTGTTTGGTCTTTCATGGCAGCCTTGTTGAAGCTCATGCGTGCTTGAACTTCATGGCACGTACATAGTTCAAAGATCACACAATTTTGTGACGTCGCTATCATTTGCTATCTTTACCCAAACGGTACTTTTTGAACCAAATTTAGGGCCTCTTCCAAAGAGCAGGTTTTGGGTTCGGATTGCCCGGGGCGCTTCTCCTCATTGCCTTGGTCAACCAGAGCCGCTTCATGGGAGTCAGCGAAGCCTTCTCGTGTCTTTACCTCTTCCTTTGAGGAAATCCAGGGCGGCCGGAAAGTGTGAATTCCTCTTTGAGGGGGCCTTGTCCTAAATTGGCTGGGGCGACATGGTTGTGGAAACCCCGGTGACCACTTTAGCATGGTCATTTTGGGCATTTCCCAAGAGCACAGTGGGATTTCGCTAAGCATGTTTTTGTTTCTTCCAGGAACTTGCCCAACAAACCTGCCCTCTCCCAGTTCAAGGGGGGATTCCCTGTTGAATGGGCTCACCTCGATCAAAAGGCAAACCTTGGTCAAGCTGCGAAATCGCTACAGCGGTAGGACAAGGGCAAAAGCAGGTCAGCTTCCCCTTTGTTGGCGGCTTGGATTGGTGGTTTGCTGGTTTGGTGGTGTGGTGGTTCAGGGGTGGTTTTCCATTTACCCTCTACAAGAACTGGTTCGGATGCCCAAGCCGCCAATCCAAACCAACCCGACGGGTCTGATGGTTCCTGAAGAGGACAGACCAAAAATCGCCCAGAGACTTGCGACTCCGAGCGATCGGCAGAAGTTGACGTCCCTTTGTCGGATAGACCCACAAAAGGCCCACCCGGTCAACCAACATCATCCCAACCATTTGTTCCACCCATGAGGTTTGGTCTTCTTTAAGGCCCAGTTCAACCTTTGAGTGCCACATGAAGAGCACGACCCATGCCATGTTGGTTTCCTTTGGTGGAAACATGATACAAGTCTGACATTGTTTTTTTCCTTCTTGAAGGCTACCCTGTTTCAGTGATTGCACAGGGAAGCCATAGGGAAGCCAAGAGGACCCCAGTTCCTCGTTTGGGTTTCCCCCGGTTTGGACGTTCACCCCGACCGTGCAGCTCAAGAGCTGGAGAGGAAGAAGATCAGCATGAGCCTTGGAGCAGAACTCAAGAAAACCACCCCAAAGGGGGAGGAACCCAAACACGGAGTTTACCCCGAAAAAAGACTCCTGTGGCTTGTTTTTTTTCTTGTGTGTTTGCTGTGTCTGTTGTTGGGGGGTCTTAGTAAGTAGAGTCTACCATTGGTATGAACCGTAGTTCCCCCTGCGGGCAACGAGGGAAAGCCACCCTTTTGCCGGCAGCATCGACAAAGTCGAGCAACCGACCAGCCTTTTGCAATGTTAGTGCCACTGCTAGCACGACCCCTTCTTTGCTCAACCTCATCTTGCCTAAGTTTGCTCGGCTCGCAACCCCTGCTGGTCCCCCTTAACCTGGGCGGGCGACATTTCAAAGAAGCCTGCGAAGGAAGATCGATCCAGAGTCGGGAGCCTAATGGCGACCCAGAATTGAGAATTCAAAGATCCCTGGGCGATGTCCAATGTAAAATGGAAATCCTTCACCTACTTCATGTGCCAGATTGAGTAGTCTAGGACCAACATTAGCTGCTCATTGGAACAGCTGATCGTAATTTCTTAAGTTAATGCGATTTTTCTGAGAGGTGAGAGACAAACTGGATCGGGCAAACAATTTGCTTCCATTGCTTTTCCGCCCCCCCTGGAACCAAGAAATACTCTCTGTTTTTCCTGCGGGGACAGATTCCCTGTAAAACCAAGAGATTGTTTTTTTTTAGAAACCTATTCATTTGAGCAAATAGATTCCCCTTTCAACCAAGGGGAGAATAACACATGACTAACATTCATTTCAGCAAATGGAAGGTGGACACCTCCGTACCGCCCCCGCAACCCGGCGGCCCCTCAGTTTTCATCCCCGCGGCTGCGCGGGGGTGTCGTTCAAGGCCGCAAAGGCCGTGAAGAGCATCACGATGCCTTCGCTGCGCGGAGGCAGCCGTGGATCCCACCCGCGACCGCTGGTTGCTAGAAATGGAACGTGTGAATATGGCGAAGCCAAAATGCAACTAAGGCAAAACAACAAAAAGGCAAACAACACACACAGGGCAGAGGAATAAACAAAGTAAATGTTTGATGAATATGCCGGCGAAACCCAAATATGCAACTAGGGCAACAAACCAAAGGCATACCAAATCAAAACGGGGCAGAGCGATATAATGAAGCTAAACTGAGTCAGCCAAAGTGAGCTGGTCTGGATGTTGGCCAGATGGTTAGTCCTCAGTGAAAACAGATTTAGATACCCCTGGATCATTCAAGAACTCGCCAAAAATGGAACCTGACAAGGTCTGTGGAAAACATGTCTCTCTCTTTCAAAAGACCTTGCTTGTCCACCCATGGTGCCTTCAAGTTACCCGTCCACCAATTTTTGACAAGCCTGCCGAAATCTGGAAAGTCTTCGTTCCTCGATCCATGGCAACGGGTAAGTGAAAGCAGCAACCTTTGGCACGGGCCCTTCGCGAAAAGGACATCCCGGAAGCAACCAAGTCAAGGCACAAGCAGCGCGGGAACTGCCTACCACGCACCGCGCCCCAAACGCACTTTTAATTGGGAGAAACACCACAAGGGTAGGTGCGACCGAAACAAGAGCGAATTGGAGTTCCGCATGGCTGTGACAACAGGGTAACAGCCGCACACATGTGTGGCTGAGAGTTAACTTGCCTGAGAGGTAAAGGGCTCGAACTTCGGCTTCACATATTTTTTGTTCTTTACAAACCTATGCTAAGGAACTTTTAAGTGACCTTCTGCCCCCAGTCCCATGCCCCTTTGAGGCATTGCGATCCATCATGTAGCCTCAGCCAAAACAAGCCCATATCTGTCGGATCTATTGCAACTTGCTGTCCATGTGCTGTCCTCGGAGAGATTGACGCCGCTAGGGAAAATCTGTGGGTTGTACCATCGGATACTGCCGCAGCATCCATAAGATGATACACCAATTCCTTCCATGGAACCCACCGGGTCTCTTTTGGACTCCGGAATCTTAGCTCATAGAAGGGGAAGTATGACAATGCATGTTGTCAGGAGCGTTTTCTCCAGGGTCAGAAGGACTAGTGCTGTCAATGTGCGTAGAGCTAACCCGACTTCGTTTGGGGGGAGTAGCGAAAAGGCCTGGCTCCTTATGCATACGTGCACGTGGCCGTTGCACAGGCCGAATTTAAAGGAAACGCAACCTTGAACAAACCAACGCCACCAGCTGACCAATGCGTTTTGTGCCATGCAGTGGGCACAACACTGCACAAATTGTGACAGGATGGGAACAAGTCACGTGGCGCATTCCAGCAATTGTCTCAAGGATCTCTTCTTGGGGGGTCATTCAGGGGTTGGTACTCTCAACTGCTCTCGAACGTCAATAACTCCACTGGGAACTTGGTGTTGCTCTTCCCTACTAGGGGTTAATACAACGCAATGCTTAGCAAACAAGACACAACTCACAACACAACTCACAACACAACTCACAACACAACACAACACAACACAACACAACACAACACAACACAACACCACACCACACCACACCACACCACACCACACCACACCACACAACACACACACACACCAGTAGCACGTTGTCGGCCGCTCACAAGCGATGCCGCATCATCGCAAAAGTACCGCTTGATGTCTGCCACTTGCCCATGCAGACAAGAGGCACAAAGAGAACATCACCAGCCTAAGCATGGGCAACACTCTAATTCGAGGGTTGGCCAGTCCCAAGTCTAAATTATTCGTGGAAAAAAACAAAGAAAGGCCCTTTAAATTCCCAAAGCGAGGAGCACGGGGTTGCCTTTGAACAGAGACACCTGCTCCTCGAGCTGGGTCAAAAGCTGCTTGCTTTGTGTTGAGGGCATACTCAAAGGAGCCCATGCGTGTAAGTGGCACAGCGGGGTATGATTGTGATACCAGGGCCTCACATCTGTAGGTATGAGCTGAAAGGAATGAAGCAATCACGCTAGTCCGAGTCTGAACGGGGAGATGTTGCAAAGACATCAGACACCACCGAATCAATTTATCTGGCTTCCATTTATTCAACTATCCCAAAGAGGTCGCGAGTTGTGGGGCACTCCAATATGAAACAGGAGTCACTTGGATCAAACTGCCGACGCACAAAAAGCCAGGTTTAGCTTGAAGTCAAAAACGTCTTGCCTCAATTGAATCTGCGCCGCATGGGTGTCGTTATTTTGTGGTGCCCATGTGTCAGGCCTTTGGAGACAAACCCAGATTCAACGCAAGAGGTCCCCATGTCCGTCCTGACATACCTCAGCAGAACCCCTCCAAACACAAAGTGGAATTCCCGCTAGACTGGCCTCCGCCGATGTGCGGGGTGCTCATTTGAAGCCCATGTTTCAGCCATGTTGTTGAGAAATGGCAAGGGCTCAACAGCTTACAGCTTGAAGCGCCCCTTGAGTTATCCAGCGTGGCATTCCGCCAGAACTCGCCTGGGCTTTGTTTTACCCGCTCATGCTTGGAGATCACCCCAATTTGACTGCTTGATCCTTGGTGAATGAGCAATTTATATGCTCAACCCCTAACACCCTAGCAGATAAGTGCCAGGCCCATCATGACTCCCTTTGGCAAACATATTCACGTCTCATCGCCTTTCTGCCTCACACACCCTTGAACTCAGAATGTATCAAAGCCAGGAACCGATCCCATGTTTGGCGGCAGGGTACCTCTTTACTGGGCCCAGGCTTCGACCTCCGCACAAATGAACCACAGCTGGTTAAAGGAGAAGATGACGGAACCACAAAAGGGCAAGTCAGACAAGGCTTTCTTATCTTTGCCATCTTCCATTTGCTTAAGCCCCCTGTTTTGTTTTCTCCTTTTTTTTTAAACAAACTATTTCCAGCAGTGATCGATTCATTTTAAAACCAACAGGGAAAAATCAACATATTCTTAAACAAGTGGAAGCCAACAATGGAAAATGTTCTGACAGTCCATGGTTCATGTGCTGAGAAGGGGTTACGCGGGACGGACCCAAGGCACAGCCTTGGGCGACCCTAAAAGGTTCTGCTGTGAAGGAAAGTATTGATTCCACATTGTGTTCAACAATCCTCCAAAACCAGCCTTACCCCCTCGATTGGTGCGTGTTCTTCCCTGGGAAGAGGGATGTCCTGGTCGGAATAAACAAACACCTGTGGGTGCCAGTTATAAGAAAGTGCTCTGTACACCCTTTTTGGCCGTTTCCGGAAATTGAAGGTGTATTGTTGGGAGGGTGGCCCTAGATGTCGTACACTAATTCAAAAGGGGAGCCGTTGCAGTCTATACCGCGGCTCTTCAAAATGGAGTCTTGGCCAATCCCAATCCATAGTCCCTGTTGGAAAAAAAAAAACAGCAAAGGGGAACCCTTTCGTAACCCAAGGCAAGGATGAGGGGTTTGAATACTGGCTATTACTCGGTTGCTTTCTGCTCCCCTGCTAAAAGTTTAGCTTTTAGCGGTTTGATGGAAAACCCATTAGTTGGCAAACAGTTCAAGTCCTAACATCCAAGCAAAATGCACCAAAGATTAGATGATTAGATGCAGTGCCTTCTTCGGGGTAAGGACGGGTCATGAACTTCCCGTCCGATTGCCTCCAAATCGATATGGAACCCGCTACAGAGGAGACCCCTGGAGTATTCTTGTTGGGGAGGCTTCCCCTCTACATCCCACCAGGTATCAGCATAGGTAACCAAGGCAAACCAGGATGTCAAACCTGGTAACCAACGCAAGAGCACTGCGCCACAATGTTGACCCCGGATGTATAAACCCCTGCTTGTTAATATGAGGGCGTTCCCCTGCAACAGCGACGAATCCCGACGAAACCCAGGGAAAAGCAGGCGGGTTTCATCCGGGGTCAACATGATGTGCCTTCTTCTTTTTTCGGAGTGTATCCCTTCGCCTACCATACCTGCAGAACTGGGAAGCATAGGTGCTTCTTTTCTCGGTTGCTTTCTGCTCCCCTGCTAAAAGTTCAACTTGTAGCGGCTTAATGGGACATTTGTTGGCAAACAGTTAAAGTCCTAGCATCCAAGCAAAATGCAACAAAGCTTTCTTGGGAGGCTACCGATCGATCGAACACAGTCGCCCCGAGGCGCTGCATCACCACCAGCGTCGAGGAGAAGTTCTTCAGGCGCTGCGCGCGGGCCCTCCGCACCCTAATCGAGCACGCTCGAGCGTCGTAAGCGGTCGAGCGGTCGCCCGGGTGCGGTTCGAGGAACGTGCGAAACGGATGGTTAGGTCTGAAACAAAGCGCATGGCGAAAATGTGCGATTGCTTCTCTCCCTCTCTCTCTCTCGCACTCTCTCTTTCGCTCTCTCTCTCTCTCTCTCTCTCTCTCTCTCTCTCTCTCTCTCTCTCTCTCTCTCTGCTGCTCTCTGGCTGTGCCTGCTACCTGCATGAAGCAGTACGTTATCAAGCAAAAGTTCTCATGAATGATTCGCCAACCCCAAAGGCGCATGGTCCATATGTGTATATATATATATATATATGATTGTCATATATTTACGTATGTCCCACATGAACGGCCCCTTCAATTTGAAGCGCTGTCCAGTGACCTTGAAAGAAAATGGGAATTTGCGAGCCCCGCATTCACTTGCTGCCAAACTGCGCGATGCTGGCGTTGGCCGAATCCACACAACCTCGAATGGAGAGATGGTGGCAATACACCTTTCCTGTCTGCACGTGGAAAGCACCCACCCTCACCAACTAGCCTGGTACCCACCAGAAGTCTCTTTGCGAGGAAAGTTATGTTCAAGGACCTCCCAGTCAGGTTCTCTCTCAGTGGATGGGGGCGGCAAAGTTGAAATTAAAGAATGTGTTCCATCGGAAAGCTTTGTCAATGCACTCTGGCTTTCCCTCAAAGGCAGTTGCCAACAACCCCCTTGGCTGCGTGCAGAAAGACATAACGGGACTTAGAGGGTGTGTCTCTGAGCAGCTGGTCTGGTGTAACGTTTGTCGTGCGGTTCGAGACACTCTTGAGGCGCATTCGCATCACTTCCTCGCGCATGTCCTGGCGCGGGGGGAATTGCGGGGGGAGGGGGCCTGGCTAGAACACCCGAACAGTAGAACCAGGACCCTGTCTGGCTAACTCACCAAACCAAAAGGGATTTAGAGGGTGCTGGGGCGGGGTCCTCTGATGAGCACAAGCTCGGCCCCAGGTGAGCCTGTTGTATGTTTCAAGCGCTATGAGCATTCTCGCGGCAACTTGATCAACGTTCCCAGACCGGATAATAGAGCACGGACGACGTTGTTGTTGTTCTTGCTCCAAACCTCACTTCCCAACTGGATGGGCTGAAACAAAATATGAACTTGCTTATTTACCTCTAGCGCGGTGTTCCGACTGGAAGAACCAGAAAGAAAGCCTAGGAACTCAGGGAGTTAGGAAAGGACATGGCGCAAATCCGAGGTCGATCTGATTTGATCCCGGCCAGTGCCTCGATTTCATGTAAGTTGATCGCGGCAAAATGTAGACGGCCCATGTCCGGAAGGGATGGATGCTTGTGTGGGTATGAACTTGATTAGGGACCCTTTGGTGGACATCATTTAGGTGGGGATTTCTGTCCACCAACCCCTTTTCAGGGGGTTCCCAATTAAAACTCATAGCCATCTACCAAACATATAAGCTTGTCAGGCACGTTGTTGCCCCTTAGATCAGTGGCGTAACATGCCCTTGACTGGTGAACCGCGTAAAACACGGCTTTGCTTCCCAGTGCTAATAGTAAACCCACCTTGCAGTCACTTGCTCAGGTTCCCAGCGCGACGATGTACAAACTTTGGGGGTTGAAGATTTCAGTGGGGGACCTGGGTGCGTCGTTCTTTGGCGTTGGTACCCCTTGTTGGTGGCCAAGGTAAACTCAAGGAAAACCAGAGTTTTGGTGGTTTTAAAAGAACACCCAAAGGAACACCGGAGCCATTTTGGGGGTCCAAATCCTTAAAAACAAAAAGCTACAACGTTCAGTTCCGGGTCCTCTTGGATCATGGAGCGCGGGTTGCGGCGCTCCCATTCCTGGCCGGAGCCGATATTATTGAATCCGCAACAAGCAAGCGATCCGACGGAATCCCCGGGTTCGCTCCCATGATTGTACCTGTGCGCTTAAAGTGCTCGTGGAGACCATGCAAATGTGAAACTGTTAAATGCTGCTGGCCTTGACCAAAGCTCTTGCAAGTCCGACACCCCTCAGTCACGGCCTGCACACATCTCTCTAGGTCACGGTACTCATAGATCAGGTCCAGGGTGCGTGTGTACACCTGGCACCATGCCAAGCCAAGCCCATGTGGTCTTTCTTGTCCTGCCTTTCAGCGGCGGCTATTTCAACAAGGGGCACCAGCATAGGGAACAAGCATATGTGCCATTATCAACAACCCATACACGTGTCATGGTCACTTGGAGCCCTTGTATTGTATTGGTTGTCTAGAGCGGCGCAGAACATGATGCCCTGCCAACTCAAAGCAAATGGCAAACAAGTCTCATGGTTGTTTCTGTTGCAGAGAAGCCAAAATGAAAGCAACCATGTGTAGGGGTCCCATGGGTCCCCAACATTTCAAAGATGTTTTCTCTCAGCAAGGAAGTGCCGTCTGACCGTAAACTTGTTGGGTTCCGCATACCGCGGCAAGCCTCAAACTGGAAGGTCTGCAACGACTGCCCCGTCTCTCCGGGCGCCAGCTGCTTGATCTTTCCTGCCAGTGATACGCCAACAACGAGGCACCCTCAAGGGTTCCATGTTGGCTCCCTAGGGGCCTAAACCCGGACATGGCGCGTGCAATCGAAAAAAGAACCGGTGGGCCAGGCATTGTTTGAACAAACCTCCATTTGCAACCAGCGCTTTGACCAAAACACATATGGGTGTGGCTCAAAATTAAGCAAAGGGGTTTCGCAGGTGTTGGTCCATGTTTCCACTTACCAGGGTTCCATTTTGGGTACCTATTTTTGACCCACAGCCATATTTGCTCACTCCATGTCGGGCATGGCCAAAAACGGAGGGGTCCCGCTGGGTTGCCCGGCGGACGACCTGCCGCTGCCGGTCCGACTCGAGGTCGGAAAACCTGGGTTCACAGGCCAAGAGTTCCCCAATTGCATCACCCCACGTCAGGCAAGAGGTTCATATCCCCAGAGAAGAAGCCCCATAAGAGGAATTTCCATACATACAACCCACTGAGGAGACACTCCATACATATATATATATATATGCTCACCCCCCCCTGCATGACCTACCTTTTAGCTAAAAAAAGCAGGATCTCATCTATCATTTGCCCGGCACAGCACTTGGTTTTCATTGCACACGCGAGCAAAACACAAAACTAATTATCTTCAATGCTTATTGATTGAAGCAATGGAAAACCTGTTCCATTATGTTATTCACCGCCACTCATAACATAATGATGTTCCATTTAATATTAATGACAAGTTTTTTTTAAATATAATTTTCTATATTTCTTTAATATCAACTATGACAGATGTCCCAATAATAAAACCAATAAACATAACTGAATATGAATTCAAACAATCCAAATATGAGCACGTGCTAAAATTACCATTTAGAAGTATTATAGTTGCTTCATCGACGGGAGGCAAAACAGTTTTAGTCCAAACCCTTATCTTGAATGTTTATAGAAATTCATTTGCAGGAATATTTATATTTTCCCCCAGCGTTCATAATGACCCAACTTTTACAGAAGTTAAAAAATACATCAGGGATGAATTGCACGTGGATGATGAAAAAGAACAAATTTATTTTGCTAATTATAATCCAAGTGATTTAGAAAATGTAATTGAAAGACAGAAGAAAATAATTAATTATATGAAGTCTAAAAAGATAAAGAAACTACATTCAATATTAATCGTTATAGATGACCACGCATTCAATATTATCGTTGTAGATGACCACGCAGACAATCCTAAATTTGTTAGATATAGTAAATTATTACACGGACTTTTTACAAGAGGCAGGCACGATGCAGTAAGTGTAATTGGTTCAACACAAAATATAATGTTTTAGTGCCTATCATTCGTTTAAATGCCAGTTCATTAGGTTGAAAAATGCAAGTGAGTTAATGAGTTTTATTGAAGAAAATAGCGCCATTGTTGATAAACAGCAATTATTAGATATGTATCATCAAGCCGTTAATGACACACCTTATAGTTTCTTCTACGTGAATATGAATGCTAAAGACATTAACAAAATGTTTCATATCAGATTTGAACAGGCATTTCAAATTACGAATGATGAATAAAGATATTATAATTTAATATAATATAGTAATATGCCAATGAACCTATGTAGATGTGGTGGATTTTATCGTAGAGGTAATTGTATTTTTCATACTAATTCTTGGATACATAAACTTTATAAAGTATTGAAAAGAAGGGCAACAGACGAGGAATTATTAAGATGTCAAAATAATTTTGTTGATGAAGAAGATTTAATAGATGATATAAGTAGTACTACTTCAACAACAATACCAGAGGATAAAATGACAGATTATGATAGCAATCAATAATATTATTATATGTTAATATTATTAATTTAAATTAACGAAGCATTGCAAAATTGTAAGGCAGGAAGTTTATATATTAATTTGTCAGATTTTTCTTTCTCTAGTTTCTCAATTCGTGTCACACATTCTTGAAGAGATTTAATAATTAAAGTGTCTGCTCGTGTTTTTTCATCTATACTTAAATTCTTAATGTCTTCCAAACTATTATTTTCATTATTTTTACTTTTACCAATACCCATTATATATGCTATTATTAAGATTTCAATTTTTCAAAATTATCTTTTTGTGGTTCTTCTTCTTCGTCTTCAGTTGGTGCTGGTATTTCTGTTGTGTTAGATGTCTGGCCCACGACAAAATCTTGGATTCTTGGTTTTCTCGAGGTTTTCTTGGTTTTCCTTGTTTTACTTGGGAATTCTTGGTTTTTTGCTGGAAAAAAAAAACCCTAGTAAATCTTGGTTTTTTGCTGGAAATCCAAAAAAACCCTGGTAATTCTTGGTTTTTTGCTGGAAATCCAAGAATTCCCAAGTAAAATCAAGAAAACCAAGAAAACCTCGAGAAAACCAAGAATCCAAGAATCCAAGATTTTCATGTAGATGTCTGGCCCACGACAAAATCTTGGATTCTTGGTTTTCTCGAGGTTTTTTTGGTTTTCCTTGTTTTACTTGGGAATTCTTGGTTTTTTGCTGGAAATCCAAAAAAACCCTGGTAAATCTTGGTTTTTTGCTGGAAATCCAAAAAAAACCCTAGTAATTCTTGGTTTTTTGCTGGAAATCCAAACAAACCCTAGTAAATCTTGGTTTTTTGCTGGAAATCCAAAAAAACCCTAGTAATTCTTGGTTTTTTGCTGGAAATCCAAACAAACCCTAGTAAATCTTGGTTTTTTGCTGGAAATCCAAAAAAACCCTAGTAATTCTTGGTTTTTTGCTGGAAATCCAAGAATTCCCAAGTAAAACCAAGAAAACCAAGAAAACCTCGAGAAAACCAAGAATCCAAGATTTTGTAGTGGACCAAACATCTACCTGAAAATCTTGGATTCTTGGATTCTTGGTTTTCTCGAGGTGTTCTTGGTTTTATGTGAAAAATGCTAAAAACCCAAGGAATTCTGAAGGTTTTACTGCAAAACCATCAAAAACCCAGGGAATTCTTAGTTTTTGACTTAGGGATCTATCTGAAAAACATATCAGTTTTTACACTTGTTTTTTTGAATGCTTTCCTGTTTTTTTCTAAAAAAACATGGGTTTTTGCACATTTTTTGCTAAAACCATCAAAACACACTGGTTTTTCTTAATTGTTCAATGGTTGACTGTGTTGTTTCTTAATCAAAAACCATAAAAAACATGTGTTTTTTCACTTTTTTCTTGTCTGCTAATGGTCCCCAACGACTTTTTGAAAGACAACGGTAGGTCATGCAGGGGGGGGTGACCATATATATATATATCCATTATATATTGTGTTTTTGTGTATAGTTGAATGATGATCAGCAACCGACCAAATCCGCCAAGGGCTTATCAGCAAGTGGGAGCAGGAGTAAACCCCAGCGGACCAACCTCTACGAATAGCACTTCAGCTTGTTCTTTGCCTTCAGTTTGGTATTCGCCCAAAGTTGACAAGGCGGTCCGTGGCCCAAAGAGCACGAGGAAACATGCAAGGGGAGTTTCGGGGTAGGCCAAGGGCGGACCATCTCACGGACTTTTGCACATGGCCGGCCAATGTCCAGAAACCAAATTCGGGCATGGCCGAGTGAGCCGTGCTCTCACTTCCCGAGAGGATTGGCTACGAAACATCCGAACTGTTCGCTTGCCTCTAAATTGGTCAGACCAAAAGGCATACAGTCCGGAACTCAGGGAGTTGGCAGCTTTTGGTGGTTCTGGCCGCATTTGTCCGTTTTGCGCGGTTTCCAGCCAGCAACACAACCTGTACAAATCAGCCAAAACACCACTACTCCTCTACTCCTCTGAAAATGAACATGCACAGTGGGTAAGCCATGGCTTTTGTCCACCGTTAACGGCGCTCAACAACTCTTTAGAACGTTTTGGAACAATGGTATCTGCAAGGCAAACTTCCTGAGTGTGTTAGCCACAGAAAGTCTACATTGACCCTGAAAATACCCTTAAAGAATGGATATCCCCTTCATTCACAGACAGGAGACGGAGGTGTAAAGATGTCCAAGCCTCTCCAATATGAAAACAGGTAAGGAATGGATATGCTGCAAGCACGCAGAGCTCGGCAATCCAGTCCGAAGCGCTTGAACTTGCTATCCTGCTCGTGCCACTCCAATGGAGGCAAGTACCTGGCGGAGATGCCCCCCCCCCCCCCCCATGGCGGAGGCAAGCCATCCACCGCGTTCTCCCACAGCTACGGAAAAAACAAGGTTCCACCTAAAGGATGTCCCATGCAAGAGGTAGTAGTCAGACGGATGTACTAACTGTCTTTAGATGGCAACCTCCGCTGGTGGCTAAAAGCACTTTGGCTTGATGTTGGCCCACCTTTGGAAGCTACTCCCCGAAAAGAGGGGCCCATAATTTCGACCAGCACCGTGCCGGGCCGGGCGGCTGTTTTTTGTGAATCATTCCTGAGAAGAGGTCCATCGTGTGGGCCAGGTTCTTGCGCAAACCTGTTCCCCCGCAAATCTCCATGGAACCCATTTTGGGGTCCCCGGCTCCCCAAAATGAGATGCCTCAAACAACAAAGCATCGCATTCCCGTTGAACAATATGCACAATTTACTAGAATTCACAAACCTGAGCCAAGGAATCTCAATGGTATGGTGCGCTGCTAGCTCGATCCTGCTATGCCGCTTGAAGGTTTCTCCATCTTAGACCCGCTCCAAACCTTTGGAGGAGCTTGCAGGGTAGTCACCAGTTGTGTCTTGCTTGGCCGACCATCTACAAGTCCCCTCATGTTCGCACTGTGATGTGAGAATCACTTACCCAGTGTGAAGCAGATTGGCCACCAAGTCAACTGTGGACAACCGCACAACATGCCAGTATGCAGTATACTTACATCATAGTTGTCATGCAAAATCAGAAACTGGGGGATATTGTAGACTGCTCTGAAGCCAAACGAGATGCGTTAATTTTGCCTGAGCTTGCTAGGGAAGAGCAACTCAAAAGTTCCATCCACCTGTCTCCTCCCCCTGCTGGGTAACTCAGGGTCTCCCCACTCATGTTTGAGACGGGCATGCTTCTACGCACCCAAAGGAGTCATAGCCATTCAGATCCATGAGGAATCCCCAAAGCCCATGGATAACATCCTACAATATCTCGAAAAAAAACACATATTGCCATGCGGATTCTGTCAGCCAGGGGAGCAGCCGGGTCCCGATTCGGCGCACAGCTGCGGAACGTCCACGCGCTCGATAAAGGGCAGGCCTCAAGGGCACGACAAGTCGACCAACTTCGGCCATTGGGCTGTGGGTCACAAATAGGTGCCCAAAATGGAACCCTGGTAAATGGAAACATGGGCTAACACCTGTCCCTGGTGGATTATGTTTGACCCATACCCGTGTGGAGCATGGGATCCCTAGACACCAAAACGCCTGGTATTCAACTGGCATTTTGAGAGCCCAGCATCAATCTAGACTCCATTGGATTGGTCAACGTCCCCGAGTTGAGCTCGGAACAAACTTGCACCGGTTGCCCCAAAAGGACACGAATTGTGGTGCGGGCGTTTTGTGGGACATTTGGGCGGCAGTTCCCCTGGGGTTCCACAAACAAACATCCGAAATTACATGATTGATGTTGGAGGCGTCTTGCAACGCGATTTGCATGCTTTCCTCAAGCAACGCCAGGATCAGCGGGTCAGGTGTATAGATTTCACATGGTTCACGGAGGTATGATCCAACTCAACTGGAAAATCTGATAAATGTGTGATTTGGGCAACCCGGAAACTCCCCGAACCCACAGAACCCCCACTGGTGCCACGCCAGGGCGCCTTTGCCAGGCCCGCGGAACCATTGGTACCGAAGGGCCTGGCTGACGCAAACAAGCCCACGGGATCACCTAATCTGGCTGAAGCGGGCTTGGGTTTCAAAGGGAAGCCCCTAAGCGAGAGAAAAGCACCTCTGGAGGTCTGGGCAGTGGCTGGTTTTACCGTGCGGAAGTTATCAGATGCAACAAGCAGGGCTGACTCCTTTAGCAGCACTTGGCAGCACTTGGAGCAGTGGTCTATGAGGGTAACTCCCTAAAGTGTTCTTGTTCATAGTCTTGCAGGGCATGCACATGCCATTGAGGTGTCTTCAAGCTCCAGACCAGATTGTTGCATTCCCACAAGGTAGCAGGGAAGCGAATCGGAAGCGAATCCATACATACAGCAATCATTCACAGGCACACCTTCACCTTTGGTGCATTGGCTCTTGACCGGATGCCTGGCAATGGAGGATAGGGTGCTCAAAACAGCCCTTCTCACATGCCCCGCCCCTTTCTGGGTCGACTTTGCGGTCAGAAACTAGCTGGGCCCTCGGGGTTTCCCGAGCAATCCCACAAATTTCGACAGGGAAGCAAAGAACCACCGTTGCTGGGAATGAAGCTCGGAAGCTCACTTTAAACTAGCAACCAAAAGTGATGTTCAACGCTGAAACACCAGCAACATGAGAAGATGGCAACCTACCTCGGCGGGTGCCTCCAACCAACTGTGACATCTTGAATCTGGTCCATATCTGATAAACCTTAAAATGCAACATGTCCAAAGGCATCCCCATGGACTGAACCATTTATGAGCCGCAGCATGAGGTCTTTTGGGGAACCTTTAGAAAGTAGGGTAGCCAATTTCTGTAGTCAATTTTAGTAGGGGAACCTTTAGAAAGGGCACCTAGCTGGGGGACCTAGGTGAGGTCTCAGAGTTCCGTGGACCCCCGGCCGGGTTCCTCCAAACGCGACCGGCGCCTTCCACAGCTTGATCCTCACCGCAGCATTGAAGGTCACACCGCACCGGGCTTCCACCTCCAGCAGGATTTGCTCCACCTGGCGCGGTGGAACCCAAGGCTCAACCGAAGATTTTGTCTTTTTGGTTTCATGCTCCATGCACGGAAAACACGGAGAACAAAAAACGCAGCACTTGTCCGGAAACAAACACCAAGTGGAACAACTCACTTCCTGAGTGGATTTTTCAAGGTCCAAGCCTCCAGTACTTCCTTGGACCTGGTCCAAACAGACCAAAAAGGGCTTCCCCACAGGTAACTCAAGTCCCGGAGCTCATGATCCGATCCGCCGATGCCGAGCCCGGAGGTCGCTCATGTGCGTCATGGCGTCGAACATGGCGTGGCCGGCCTGAAGCCAGCGAGCCAAGGCGCCGGCCAGGAAACCCGGCAGAAACGGTTTCCCCGGGTCAAAAAATAGAGGAACCCCAAAATGGGTTGCCCTGGTCAATGGAAACATGGACTTTAGGTCCTAGAGCCCATGGTTTTATCTTGACCATGTCAACATCGAGGGAAACCCCCCCTCAACTCCACTGGAATGTTCTAAATGAAGCTTCTTGGAAGGCAGTTCTGAGACGGACTTTTTACGACACCTTCTGGGAATCTGGGGGGGGGTCTCTTCCTCTGAGACCCTTTCCACGGGGGGTCAAGAACTTACCGTCAAAAGACAGTTGGCCGTGGCTCAAACAAGTGATACCAAAATGGCAGCTTGGTAAATGGAACCGAAGACTAACACCCGCGTATCCCCAGCTCTTGATTTTTGAGCCATGTCCATTTCCTCTTCTCATCTTCAAGCTGTTGAAAGCCCAGGTCCTAATTCGGGGCACCGGTGTCAAGCATGTAATTCGGGTCACAAACACGTGGCGGCAAAAATGTGACATCTGCCACTGGGCCTAAGGGGCCCGGGAAATTCAACATGAGTCGTTGACCCTTAAGCCGAAGCCTCTAAAAAAATCGGATGCACGCCGACAACAATAGATTCATACATTTTAATCTGCCACTCTGACTACCCAGGCAATATGGATATGATGTTTGATAGGGAACCCGTTGACGCACATCATTTACATTTTGATTTGTGTCCAACACCAAAGCCGTGGTAAATTGCAGAAAGTCAGGGGTTCCCTTGTTCTCCTGGCAACCGCATCTTGCAACCGCCACAGGCTACCGATCCGATCCCTTTCCGGGTGCGGCCTGCTCGAAATACTTGTAGAACTCTGCTAGACCCGATGATGCCAACAGCACCTGCGAGGCGACATCCCAGGTCGTGACCCACCCCCGCAAAACTTTGGCATACGCAAAGCACATATGTAAACCAAAAGGTGATGTGTAGGGAAACATACACCGAAAAACCACGGGTTGATGGTGGAAAACCGCCCAAAAGTGACGGTTGAACCACTTGTGCATAAGTTGGGGCATCAACCGCAGGGAAATCCCCATGACCATACTGCCTATGGCAACCTCGCTGGGGTGTTGGGCGCTCGCTAAAGTTGTAGTGCCGGATGCCTTCATTCCGATGCCCTCAAAACCTGCGCGGCGTTTTGGTGACCATGCCAGTTCCAGTAACCATGGGCTTGCCCGTAACTGGAATCCAGTGGGCATGCTTCTGACCCCCGCATTTTTTGGTGGAGCCTGCATATTGAGCCAAAAATGGGTAGGGGGACGGATCGAACGCTTCCAACCCGGAGTCATAATCAGAACCTGGCATTGCAGGAGGCATGGCAAAGAATCAGAAAGGTGGATAACCCGCACCAATGCTTGGGAACACCCCCCCCCCCGTACTCACATACTTCCCTTTTTGCAAGTTTGATGGCGGCTTCCCTGAACCCTGCCGCAGGCAGCGAAGCGCCTGCGTTGACATCAGGTCCTTCTTCTTACCGGTCTTCACCATGGCGGCTCACGCGGAGGGAGGCAATGCCTGCGTCGTGCAGGTATCGATGGGCACCACCGTTTCACCTTAAATGGAACATGGTTCGTTACCTACTATACTGGGAACTCGGATCCACTGGGGTTGGTTTCCCGTTCAAGAAGCCTCAAGGGTGTTCTCGTTGCTTTTTGGACCCTGTCTGAACCCCCAAAAGGTGGAAGGTTTGTCCCGTTGCGTCTGCCTTTTTGCTGAGATTTGAGCCCACTTCGGGGTACATGAAGCTCACCGATCCGTCACCTGGGAAGCTGGTCCTTTTCAGGTTTTGTGTTCCCCAGCCCAGACCTTGCGATCTTGCGGAAATTTCTAGTCAGGGACGGGACCTGAGTGCCCAATCCAGGCCTGGTTGCGTCCCGAAGCTTCGGCTGAGTGACCTAGGCACCGACCAAGACCCGTCATTTGAGCACCTCCTCGCAAGGTACTTGGACCCTCGCTTTTTTGAGTTCCTGGACTTCTGACAATGTTAGCGGTAAATTGACCCCGTGTTTACCCCAAAAGCCATCCTGAGGAGGTATATGGACTTTTTTGGGTGATCGTAAAACCACACGTCAACGCATCTTGGGGGCTGCTGAGCCATGTTTTCGGCCAACGCCCGGAGTACTTTGCTCGTGCCCTAGTGGTCTCGAGGTCCTGCCAATGGTTGCCCTTGTGAACTGTTGCCATTTGGGTCTCAGCCTCACTTTAAATTTGACCTGGAAAGGTTTGATTTATTTGCCCCGGAGCAACGGCAAGAATCCGGGGCGGTTCAATACTGGAGCCGGAAAAAGAAAAAAACAACGAGCGACTAAATCAAGGCCTTTTGCTTCGGGGGAATTGCCAAATATCCAAATACTGCGGCCATTGCGGCACCTTGGTGTCGATTTGTGCCCACAAACTTATTATTTAGGGGGAGGGGGGCCCAAAAGGCCCAATAAGGAATCAACTACACCGAAAAATGTGTACCGACGCCCCCAAATTATTGCGACATGTATCCTGTCACTCTGCTGCCACGTCGAACTCCCGCTTTACTCTCCCTGCCTCCCTGCAATAAGCTTTGTTCGCAGGTTGGCGAGCTAAGCAGTGAAGCCGCACGGTGCGAGCATGGGAGAAGCCAACTGCCCGTCCAAGTGGTGTCTGGGTGTAGGTGTGAGAGCGTGTGTGGTGCGTGTGGATTGCATGGTCTGTATGGCGTGAGTGACTTGTGGGGGCTGCATGGCCTGTGGGGGTTGTGTGGGCTGTGTGTGGATTGTGTGGCGTCTGTGGGTTGTGGCTTGAGGTTGTATGAAGTTGTATGAGTGTGTGGTGTAGTTGGTGAGAGTTGACTAAGGCTGTACGGCCTGCTATTTAAAACATGTTCACCTGAAGAACCAACAAGACAAAACTCTAAGAACATTCCACAAAAAAATCTAACAATGCACATCCACCACGCTTCTGAGCCAAAGGGCGCAAGGAGCATGTGAGCTCTTGAGCGGCCGTACATGAAGTATAAAATCGTGCTTTATACATCATGCGATCCCCTGAATCCTTCACTTTCCCGCGGGGGGGGGGGGGGGGGGGGCAGCATGGCACAACCAAGCCCAAGCCCAACGGCAGCGACTTTGGGATCATTCTGAGTGGCTCTGTCCCAGTGACAAACCGAAAAACGACCTTTTGCCCGTTCGGAAACTCAGAAAGTTCCCACTAGAATCTGAGGGGCTGAGAATCCGAACACAGGGCATACACTGAGCATCTGACTCAACAGCGGCAAACCCAGAGAAAGGAGCAAGCCGGTTGATTCTGGCAGAATCCAGGCAACGCATTACGACATACCCCGAATGGGTGCCCACATGTGTGTGGCTCAAAATTGGGGTCCAAAATGGAACCCTGGTACATGGAAACCTAGACTGAAACCTGCACAACCCCAGCTGTTTAGTTTTGAGATGTTTTGAGCCACACCCACACTGGCTTCCGTTTGTCTCCCCTTAAAGCAACTGAATCAGCACTTTCAGGGGTACTGATGTTTCCTTTCAAGCTCCCCAGCACATCGGGACACGAGCCACGCATACCAACGCCTCAAGCCGCGGCTACGCTGCATGAACCACAAAACGAGTGCCGGAGATGCGTGGTGATGCGATTCAGCGGCGACCGGTTCTTCAGGTGGTTCTGCAACCTGCGGAGCGTCTTTCACTTGAGTTGGCAACGCCTGAATTTGTGTTCCCACAACATATCATATCCCCCTACCTTGAGGGGAAGGGGGGTGGGGTGTCCCCGAATTCAATTTATCTAGTCTTCCTTAAAATGGAGAATGGAACCCTAAATGGAATTTCTGGCGTAACCTCCCTCCCCCAAATCCACTTTTAAGGGGGCGGAACTTCGCTTAGACTGATAGAGAGCCCACTCGCAGCCATGGCAGCCTGGCTATCAGTGACTTCGAGGGGCCACTCAGGTGGCTTCCCCCTAGCTCCGCTTGCTGTGGCTCTGAACCACTATTTGGCTGCGGGTCCAAAATCCGGTAACCCCAAAATGGCTTGCCCTGGTAAATGGAAAAAATGGACTAAAATTTCCGCGGTGCGGTGGCTTGATTTTGACCCATACCCACTTCAACATAACATCAAACGCTAAGCAATAAGTTATGCAGGAATAGCCCCTGTCAGGTTCCAAGTTTGGTGGCGATGCTCTTCCCAAATAAAGTACTAACGGTTGAGTCACCATTAAGACAGTTGTCCCATGCTTTTTGCATGACGACAACACATCTGGCATTTTGGAACCCAGAACGGTGAGTTCAATCCCTCTTCGACATGGATCCTAGTGGCCGGCACGACTCATCCATGCTTATTGACCACATTCACTTAATTTCCTGGCGTCCTCAAACAGCTGGAGGCAAAAAGGACGCTCTTTGATTGCAGACTTTAACTTGAAGAAAGTCACAGTGAAGACCTGGTGTTAAAGTCGTCAACCCCAAGGGTGGCCACACCGATTGGACATTGAAGCACTGGTGACACCCGGCAACTGTCTTACCCCAATATGTCTGTCATTTTCTCGCGCACACCAAATGATCCGCCAGATACGGGCTTGGCCCGGGCAAATAAACGCGAGAACATGCCAAAGACACGGCTACACTACACAATGGGAGGGACAGAACCTTTCAAAGGACTTGCCCTCATCCAGATCAAAGCATCTGCCATGTACCCTTCAAAAAGTGAACTTTCCGATCAAATGATATGCAACGTGAAGAAGAACCAAAAAGCCAACAAGTCAAAAAAGGTACGCTGAGCCTGGCAACGATGTAAGAAGCCAAATTCCTTTCCACTCTTCAAGCACATTCTTTTTGAGGGTACAATCAGATCCGGGGCCCAGCTCGAGTTCTCGGGATCACGCCAGCGAAAGAGTAAGGGTCATTCTCAGAGGTCATCTGCGGGCTGATCAAAAGCGTTTTTGACATGGGATGACCGTTGGTTGAAAAACTAACTTACAACTTTACCTCCATGGGAAAAAGTTGCCCTGGTCAAAACTGGGGGCAAAAGGATTACAGTATTGATCAACCCCTTCATCTACCTCAGGCTCACACTCCCGAATCCAGAACCAGCCGGTTCCTGGACTTCCAGCTCGGGATCCAAATGTTTTTCACATGGCGCAAGACCTGCAACGGGCAGAACTCGTTTACCGACAAAGCCGGGAAGCTCAAGCTGGGCGTGGCTCGGCTGTCCTTTTGCCACTTCAATTAGTTCGAGATGGTTTGATTCTGGTTGCCATGAATGAACGAGCGCTTGAGGGGACAGAACAGATTAGTTTGGTTCTAACCTCCGTTGGTGTTTGGGTGCCAAACCAATCCCAAAAGGACTCAACTAACTACACCACTTTGAGGGAAACTCATGGATGCTCGCAAGAGGCTAGCCTTGAACGGAGCAAAAAGAGTAATTTCCATATCTAGAGGGAACAGGAAACTCTTGTTGTATTTTCCCGGTCGCCTTACAAGGACAGCCCTCTGATACCTTGTGCAAATGGATATCAGGTACTTCAAGCGATACGCGGTGAAACCGAAGTCGAGCCTGCAGCCACTCTTTTTGGACCGTGGCACACTTTGGCACTGTATCCGTGCTGCTGCCATCTGCCGAAACGCGCATATTTCGTCAGATCTTCCGCTCGAGCACAGATGTGATTCGCGTGTGGTTCTTGTGCCAGTCCGTCCTAGTGCTGTCCAAGGAGGCGTCAGAATCAAGCGGCCCAAAAGTGACATGGTTGTTGAACCAGATTTCAGCTTTCCTTCCAAGCGAACCAGAAGCTGCCGGATAGAATGAAGCTGCCATTCAACCTTGCTGTTTTTATGGGGGGGGCAGGCGGGGGCTCTCCCAGAACATAATCTGATATATAAAGCAACAGTTGCAGGCATGCTTTGTCTGTGGTTCAAACCGTTGAAGCAACGGTTGGGTTCCTGCACCTTCATTCCTTACATAAAAAAGTGTGTCCCTTGGGCGTTTTGTGGCGGACATTTGCTGGTCGGGCGTTGTTCGGGGGAACGGGCACAAATTGGGACTCGAGCCTTTTTGGCTTTTGCGGCGGTTTCTCTCTTCTCATATAGTCTGTTGCGTGGACACATGTGGAATCATACCCGCAAAACGAGCGCAAATACCCGCAAAACGAGCGCAAATCCAACACATGAAACAATTAGTATTTTGCAAGAAGCCCGTGCTTATGAAACGAGCGTTTTTTGGGGAACGAGCACTTTCTGCATCATTGGGCGAAAATAGTTGCCCTGAGAATTTTCTTTCGTACCACAAATTTACGTAACAATCGCTCGTTGAGTCCGGGTCCCTGATCCGTCGATCCGTCCTGCTATAGTGATGGGACAGCAGCCGGTCGTGGGCATCCAAGACGTTGCTGGTCGACTGGAAATAGCCGCAGAGTCCATCCTGCAGCGTGCAGCGTTCAGATCATTTCACCTTACACGCCCACTCGGGTGTGCAATAAAACAGGGGGAGCCAAAAAAGGTGGTGGTCCAATTGGTTGCTCTTTGAAAGCCACACAAAAAGGGTGCCCATAAAAACTGTAAAACAGAGAGTGGACAAACCCCCTTATTCGCACCTGTCAGGAGGCGGCTTCTACCAGTAATAGGTGTTCAGCCATCCCCACTGGTGGAGCTTGTCCATCAGTCTGCATCCATGGACAAGCTTTCGAGACCCTCATGAAACCAGACTCAACGGTTCATTCACCAATGCCTAGGGGTACATACACGAGGTTCATGGCTTCATACTCTCAGCCTTACCGGGCGATGTACGCGATGTGCTCCAGCAATATGGGTCTCGTTTAGGATGGTACCCGTTTTCAGGTGGTTTGATAGGAAGAGCAAAACCCGTGCGCCGGTTTGGGGGGCTGTGAACTGGGAGGGGGGGGCGACGTAGTTGAAGGGGAAAGCTGTTTGCCCTTGTTCAGGTCGTCTGTCCAAACTGATCCCTGGCGAACTATGACTATCTTGTAAACCACTAAACCACTAAAAGCCGAAAAACCTAACAAAGGAACCGGATGGCTGGCAACCCCAATTTCAGGTCGGCAAGGTTCTGAAACAACAAGCTTCGAGGGTTCCATGCCACCCCTCCCCTGCCTCCTGCCTCCAGACCCTATGGCTAATGACAACTCGGTCCAACAATTAACAGGGCTTTGTCTAGAATCAACGCAGATGTAATCACAAAAAAAAAACTATTTGTTTGTTTTTTCTTTCCGAACACACTGTGGATGGACGGAATCCTGCACCAGGGGGGATGTATGAAACCCTAAAAATCCTGGTTCATGAACCACCGAGTCGCCGGTGCGATGTGTGGACTTTGTCCATCCACAGAAGCGGGGGCCCTAGAGCTGGTGGCTTCCTTTTCAGATGGATTCTAAAAGAATCCCCCGGTGTAACCAAGATGCTGGGTCTATAAATCAAGTGGTGTGAACCGGCAAGGACTTCAAGCGCATTTTTTCGCCAGGTACGCGCTCCAACAGTCCCGTTGATACTGTGGATGGTTGCGAAATCCGGAAATCGCACCACCGTTCTGCAACCCAGGTGTCTGATGATTCCCCAACCTAAACAACAACAAATAATGGTTTCAACCCTAGTCTCAAAGTGATGCGAAATGGATTTTGTCCATCCACAGTATTGCTGTTTAAATCAAATAC